CCTTTACCTAGAAGGAGAACTATTGGTGGACTATTTTACCTGTGACACTCCACCAATAGGAAGTCAAAACGTGGTCTAGGAGTCAGTCAAACTGAATTAAGCAGCATCATTTTTAATAAAATGACATCAGGATGCTGAGCCTCCACTGGTTTAAATCTGTACTCTCCGTCATTCTCCCTTTCAGACTCTCACTCATGCAATCCACCCCTGTCAACCTCAAACACACCTCAGCTGGAGCCATCCAAACCTCAGTCTTCATCCTCACCACCACCGGCGTCTAGACGTATCACCGCTGGGATTGTGCTCTGCCATGATGGGTTAATGGAGTCTGACTGCCGAATACAATCATTTCTCTGTCTCAGTAAATCATGTTCTTTTAAATGAACTCTCCTTATTGAAATGCTTTTGAGACATTATTTGAGTGCTTAATCTCCTCTCTGACACATCCCTGGTATCTTTTTAACAAACCCACAGACCGTATATATGAAAAATTCACAAACCATTTTAGCATTTGTCTTCACTATAGTGCCAATATTGAATGATTTGCATTTTACAGGGAACACAGAAAAACCTCTAGAGGTTCAGATTACTTGGTACGTTTTTTACTGGTAAGAATGAGAGAGATGTGCTGTGGGTGCAACTTTTCAGGACATTTGAGGTTAGTTTAAACACAACAAGCTGTTCATCTCATTGTTCTAAGCAAAAATAAATAAATGAAAAAACTTTTCTTTAACTGGTGATATTTCCATCCATGAGGTTGATGGGGAAGTGCCAGCAAGCAAATATAGATAAAGCAGTGAGAAAATGTTCTTGTCTCCTTTTTTCCCACATATTGTTCTCACTCCAGTGTTATTTGAGAGTCGCTAACCTTGCAGCTAAAGCATACAGTGTACATTATCTGTACTGAGATGGAGTGAAGTCCAGTCCACTAATGCCACCTGCAGTAAAGAGCCATTATCTAGAACCAGATTAACTTCTGACACATCTTCACTTGGCTTACTGATCAGATTTTAAATCCCATTTCATGTACAATACATCTGAAACTTTGAACACTTTTCTGTTCCTGCTTCTTGTAAATAAACTATTACCTAAATAAAATGTTGTTGTGTATTTATTTTGAGCTGACACCAATGAGAAAACACATGTCTGTTTATACACCTTGAGCTTTAGAAATCATCACTCCTATCATTTGGTTCTTAGTTCTTACTTGGTGGTACAAGCAAGAACTAACCCAACTAACATCAACTGTACCAACCTGATTCAAACCTGTTTTTAATATCTATAATCAAACAAAATGATATATATATGACATATATAAGTATGATGGGCCGTCTGGACCAAAAATGCCAGGGCTGTTTTGTTTTTTTGCCATGTCGGAGTTGCACAGCAGTTGCACAGCAATCAGCAGTTGAATTAACATGTCATTTGTTGATCTAGACGGAAAAAAAGTTCTTCAAAATCTAATGAACGATGCAAGCTGGTAGATTGGGAAACCAGCAGAACCATCATAGATACATTTATATTAATCATAAGTACAATTCATCATAATATTAATATTACTACAGCTTTACTACTACTATATTTATAGTATAGTAGTATAGTTGCTGACTTTTTCCCCCCCCCATAAAGTTAGCTTAGTACTGTCAAACAGAAGCCACCTTTATATGTTGAAATCCATGAAGCTCAGTTTACATTACTGAACTGTGCAAACAAAAGAAATCCGTCTCCTTCTAGCTGGTAAAAGCAGTTTTCTATAATAGCTACAAACTGCTATTTTTGTCACGCAGTTTCAAGACTTCCTGTTAATCAAAGCGTGATATGATTCTCCACCACACACACCATTTATTTCCTGTTTACCACCAATTAGAGGAAGCAACATACAAAGTGGAAGGAGCTGTTTAAGAAAAAAAATGGACAGATAGAAAAGTGGAGCAGGAAGATTTTAGGTCACTTAAAACTGAAATTAATGAAAGATCACTGCAGACCAACAGACTAAGGAGGGGAAAGACATCAAGAAACAAACTGCAGATAAATAATTCAGACTTCAAGATCTTAAACAAACATCCAAAACCACATAATGACGTTTCTGCTGCTACTCATCCTCTCAATAACGACACAAACATTCATTTACTAACACATTAACACTCAGAGTGTATCTGAATGTATAATATTATAGATAATAAACCTATAAACTCGTTTCTACATATTTTGATGTGTTTTAATCTTTTTTTTAAGACAATTTAACACTATAGGAATGCAAACTATATGTCAACGGTTTGACAGTGAACCTAAAGGAAATCCAGCTGCAAATAAAAAAATACTCAGAGTCACAAAGTGAACAATAATTTAAAAAGACAATATTTTAATTTACTTAAAAAATTGTTCTCACATATAGACAGTTCTGATAATCATACACACAAAATTAATGATGACTTAAAAAATTATTTTGGGCAATTTAAAATGTAAACATCAAAACATTGTTTAACATTCATCACATATGAGCATTACATAATGCATTTTCATTTCTGATTTTTAAAGTGGTAGGAGTAAAATTTCTGACTTTGGAT